TGGGAAGTCCCAGCTTGGATCAGCAGTGCTGGGTGGTGGTGGCAGTTCCTGAATTGGTGCAGTTTGCCAAGTCTCGTTCCCTGTTTCATCCTTCCCACCTCCCTCCAGAGCGGAGTGAGACCTTCCTGGAGCTGTGGGGAAACGCGCTGCTGCGACCCTCCGTAGCTGCCTTCCTGCGCGCCCAGGCTAGCCACCTGGCTAATCTGGTCCCGGAGCCTGATGGCCTGGAGGAGCGACTACCTTGGCTTAGCCTTCGGGAGCTCAAGGTGCCACAGCTGCCCACCTTTGTTAGGGGATGGGGGGAGAAGGTGCCACAGCTGCCTACTTTTGTTGGGGGGAGAAGAAGGGGAACATTGCTTGAAATTTGGGTGGCTGCGGGGAGAATGGAAGTCAGCAGTTCAGAGGAATTGAAGGGCTGGAGCAGGTTGGAGTCTGGGATCCCCAATTCTACCTCCGTGACTCCCACTACTGTGGCCTAGGATTAGAGGAGGCTTTGTCTCATTTTTTTTCCACCCCCATAATCATTCCCACCTAATGGGATGGAGGGGCGCCTTCATTGCATCTCTGGCTCCCTCCATGTTTCCCTGGCTCTGCAGTTCCGCGAGCGGGATGCCCTGGAGGCCGTGTTCCGCTTCTGGTCAGGTGGGGAGAAGGGACCGGAAGTTTTCCCCATGAGTCGCCTTTGGGACTCGAGGTTGCGCCACTACCTGGGTTCCCGCTACGATGCCCGGCGTGGTGTTGCCGACTGGGACCTGCGCATGAAGTTGCATGATCGAGGGGTGAGGAAGCTTTGGAGCAGGTGGCCAGCATCTGAATCCAGAGGGAAGGAAGAGGGCTAGGACTTTGCCCCTAGATATGAGGGGGGAGGGCTGGGTCTGGACCTTGGAGTCTTAAGTTGGAGGAATTCCTATAGATATAAGGTTGGGGTTTCTATACCGGATTAATCAGGGCCTTCTTTCCTATCCTCTACTCCAGGCCCAAGTCATCCATATCCAGGAATTCCGACGCTGGCGCGACATAGGTGTTGCCTTTGAACTCAGAGACTTGAGTGCTTACCACGTGCCCAATAGGACTCTGGCGTCGGGTCGCCTCCTGAGCCACGTATGTATCTACTTCTAGGCCTGGTCTGCGAATTTTAGGTATCTACCAGTAAAGGTCTCCAATTTGGACCTCACTTGCGATCTCATGTCTTTGTTTTTTTTCCAGCGTGGGGAACGCGTAGCTGCGCGCGGATACTGGGGGGACATCGCCACGGGGCCCTTTGTGGCTTTTGGCATCGAGGCGGACGACCAGAGCCTCTTACGGACGAGTAACGGACAACCGGTCAAGGTGTGGGCCCGGTGGGGCTAGGTTTAGGACCAGCAGACAAATCCTGCTCTCTGCCTTTCCTGCCAAGTAGGGCCAACGCTTTTTTGAGCTCCACTCCTTATTTTGGTCCAGCGTCTCCATCCAAGTAACAGGCTCTGTCCCCAACGTCTTGGTCCCTATTTTGGAGAGCTATGATCCAGCCCTCTTACTAAGTCCTAAATCCAGCCCTGGAAAAGTAACAAGGAATTCTAGTTTGGGGCTGGCGGTCACCTGTACACAGTAAGCCCCGCCCCTACCTACCCCCAATGTTCCTAGCCTAACGTTGCTCCCCCCACACCCCTTTCTCCTGGGCAGACTGCAAGCGAGATCACGCAGCACAATGTTACAGAGCTGTTCCGAGAAGTGGCCGCCTGGAGGGGCCGGAGAGCCATCCAGGGGAACGTGGAGGAGACAGAGTCGCCCAAGCCAGATGGTAGGCAGCTAGCAGCTGCAAACTTCAGATAGACACTGGTTTTTTCCCCCAAGCTTTGACAGAGCTAGTTTGGAATACCTGGGCAGTTGCTCTCTCGTTGATGTTCATTCTCTTTTTATCTCTTGTTCTCCCTTTCCTAAACCCTGATACCACCAGTAGAGTTCTCAGCCCTCTATAGAGTCCTAACTGAGAACCGGCTATATCGCTCCCTACACACTTTGCCTAAATGGATTCTGGCTGTCCTTCTCTCTATTCCATTCCTTAACTCATCTCTCCCTAGGTGTCCCTTTATTCAAGGGATCACCCATACTTTCTTTCCTGTCTGTAAAATGGATGTCTGCCTCGTGGGCCCACCTCCCCATCCAGCTCAGCAAAAGAAAAAAAAAAAAAAAGGAGGCTTCTAGAAAGACATGGAAGGGTGACAAGATAGCTTAGCAAGGAGAAATGTTTGCCATCAGGGCCTTGCAGCTCACGTTCAATCCCTGGGATCCCAGTAATGGTGGGCAGAAAGAGCTCACTCAGTAAAAGTTGCATGCCTGACCTTCACCCACATACTGTGGCACACACCATCACAAAAAAAAAAAAATCATTTTAAAGAAAAGACCAGCTGTCACCGAAGCTCAGAAGGCTGAGACAGGAGGAAACACCTGGTTTGGGTCCCAATTCCAGACATTTTCAGCTACAAGATGAGAGCCTGACTCAAAACAAAAGCACAGCACAAGGGGTGTTGACTCCAGTATTCTTTGCCACTTGTGCATCTCTCTGACTCTCAAGATTTATATGCATAGCCGGGCTGTGGTGGTACACATCTTTAATCCCAACACCAGACAAGCAAAGGCAGAGGCAGGCGGATCTCTGAGTTCGAGACCAAACTGGTCGACAGAGTGAGTTCCAAGACAGCCAAAGCTACACAGAGAAACCCTGTCTTCAAAAAAAAAAAAAAAAAAAAGTGTACAAGCACACATGTAGATGCCCTGGGAAGCCACGAGAGGGCGCCATATCCCCAGAAACTAGAGTTAGAGGTGGTGTCTCATTTGGGTTCTGGGTGGCAAACTCAGGGTCTCTGAAAGGGTGTCGAGCTCCCTTAGCAGCTGAGCCAGCTCTTCAGCCCCAGAGTTGACCTTCTTCCCTTCTCTTTCAGTGCCTGCTCAAGAACCCTTCACTATCCACTTCCTGCCTCTAGAGTCTTCGCAGACTCTCCACCACAAGACTTGCTACCAGGGCCGGTTCCAGCTCCTCTATGTGTCCTGTGGGTAAGTGGGACGCAGATGTACTCATAAAGACTTAGGACTGGGCCCCAGTTTTCTCTTTTTCAGGATCCAGGACTTTAGCTTTGCAGTCTCCATCCTGCTCTGGGCCTTCGCCCCCACCTGTGTATCTCAGCTCCTAGCCCTTTCTCTCCTCAGGATGGTCCATCTACTCAGCCCTGAGCTCGGAGCTTGCGTGGCCCCCGGAGGGTACCTGGTAGTGGAATTAGCTCGGTGAGCCAGAGGACTGGTTGTGGGAAGGTCCCAGCTGGGCCAAAAGCCAGGTCTCCTCACACACAGTTTCCCAAAATAGGTACTTGGTGGACCTACGGCCCAAGGAGCTGAAGTCGTTCTCTGACCGTGTTGTGGAGATAGCGCGGGCGGCTGGGTTTGCCCCTCATACTGGAACCAAACCCTCAGAGACCTTTGCACGCTTCTACAAGTTAGGGGACACTACTCGAGAAGGCGAAGATGTAGCCGTGGAATCCGGACCCGAGCCCTCCAAAGTCCTGGCTTCTCCCCCAGAATCGATGAGGCCACCCCAGGCTGACCAGGTCCCTTCTCTAGAGGCGATAAGCCCACCCCAGGCTGACCTTTCTCCTACTCTAGAAGCGACGAGCCCACCCCAGGCTGACCAGACCCCACCTCTAGAGGCAATGAGCCCACCCC